CGTATAAATTAACTAACCTAAATCCAATCCAAGAACCTACGAACAAGATACATACATCCCCCTTCGAAGAACTTAGCATAACAACGTAATGGATTTTTGCTGATTTTACAGTTTTAGACCGTAACCGATTGTACATTGAATGTATTTAGATAACGTGCCAACATGCCTTTCACACAACCTGTAGGGATTAGACTAATGAAGATACAAACTGTTTTGCATTTAATTAAAGTTTTGAATTCAGTAAAATTTTGTGATTATTAATTCCCAAACCGATTGATGCATTTACTTCTTTCGATACTTCAAGTCCCTAATGAAAAATACCTTGTGAAGAAAATTCTTTTATTGCACTTAAATTTTTATATTTTTCTGCTTGTTGTTTATTGAATTTCAAAACTGGAGTCTTTTTTTTATTTTTCACAATGACATAATGTTATTGCAAAATTATTTATTTAATTATTATCAACTTTTGATTATAAATTGCACATATTTAGATTTAAATATTCGTATTTATTCGTATTTAGTAAATTTCGTATTTATTATTATTTAAATATTCGTATAGTAGTTTAAGATCTTTAATAAATTTTAACGAATATTTAAGAGGACAGTGGACATTGAAATATATTTTCTTTTTAAACAAAAGTTTTTGTATATATGCGTTTTATAAAATCAATTTATTAAATATATGATACAAACTCGAAATTTTTTAAATTCAATTTCCTTAAATTAAAAAATGGAATTTTTAAAAATAAACGTTTTAAATGCTCCTTGCGCTCTAATTTTCAATATTTTATTCTAACGTTTGCATTAATTTTTTAAAACACTTTGACAAATACTCGTACATTTGGATATCCGTTTTTTAATCCCAGAAACAATGAAATTTTAAAAATTATTTTGCTTATTCAGTCCCAGTTTTGAGAAAAATTTCACCTTTTGTTGAACTTTGTCATAAATTTAAACTTAAAGTACGTTATCCAAATTGCCTGCTCGCATTTACTATAGCATGTAACAAGATAGTTTCTCACAAATGTTATTCATTTCTAATAATCATTAAGACGCATAAAGAATTTTCGTGACATACGAATTGAGAGTTAAAATTTTTAAATTAAAATACTAAAGCTACTACGCATGACTGAAGTGGATAATTATATGTTTTCTTCGTTGCAAGCTTAAACTGTTTTGACAACTAAATTATTTGCATAAAAAAAAGAAATTTCTCTTTAAAATAATTACAAATTTCTTTATATACAAGTAATACTTTTCCGTAAAATTTGTTATATTTCTGGTGATTATCAGTCATACTCATGCTTCTATGGAAACTGTTAGAAATTGCACTCAGTAGTAGAATCATAGCTGTGAAATTTATTCTAAGAACGTAATTTCAAGACAAGAGTAAGAAATAATTTTTTCTTTTGCTGTCTATTCGTTGATTTTGTTTTTATTAATAAAGAAAATGAAACTTTCAGAAAAGAAATTTTACTTTATAAGAATTTCATATATCTTGCTTTTGTAATAGAAAGAAGGAAGAATTACTCTCTTTAGAGCATCCTTCTCAGGAACTAGATTAGTTTCTGAAAGACGCGATATTCAGAAGAAGAGCAAATGAGATTTTTGTTTAGAACTTTCGGTTTATAACGTACTGAGAAAAGGTTATGAGAAATATATGTTCAATTTAACAACTGGCTACGTCTTAACATATTTTAATATCGTAGTACTAATGAAACATCTCTTAGACGATCCCCCCCCCCTTCAAAGGTTTTCAAATGATTTTCTTTTTTTGGTAGGTGGAACTGATCAGCTTAGAAACCATGATTATTAATAATGGCATAGTGCAGATATTTAAATATTTTTTTTTCAGAACTCAGGAACATGATCAATAGGAAGAGCAAAAACAGGGACAAAATATCTCCAAGAAAACAACATCAAAAAAAAAAAAAAAAAAAAAAAAAACCACTTCTGCCCATTTTTGGCAGGTTTTTTTTTTTTTTTTTTTTTTTTTTTTTTTTTTTTTTTTTTTTGTGCCCTGAAAGAGAAAAACCTGTGTCTGATTGCCCTCGAAATCAATAAAGTTTTATTCAAGCAACAGTGGAAAGGACAGGGATGCGTATGCAGACAGTACAAAATTGTACACTATGTAATAAATTGCTGAATCCTAGCTTTATGGACCTCAAGTACCTGCCAGTGGAAGCTACTGGTATATTCACCTACCATTATATGTGGTCTTGTTTTCCATCATTCATCAATTTGTAACTATCTGTTCCTCTGTAGCACAAGTACTGTTAATCTGAATTTCTTCCCAAAGTCATACATGCGTATGTGTTCATTATTCATTTTCGTTGTATCTAAAGTGTTTTAAAAGTCAAATTAAACGTTAGATATACTTCATTTACCTCCGTGTTCTCTATATACGTATCCTGTAATGCAATACTTTATTATTTAGTTTTGTGTAAGTACAAAATTGAGTTTAGTTGTTAAGCAGGATCGTATTGTATCGCATTATGGTAAAATGCGATTGCTGTTCGCATGAGAGAAGGAATAACTTCATGGAAAGATAGTTTCTTCACAGTTTTGAAGAAAACTGTCTCGTATTCACATTTTTGGTTAAGTTATTCAAAAAATGATTTCATTTAGTCATAAAATCAGCCAATTAAGAATAATGTACGCATTTCTCAATGATATTTTGCAATCTTTACTTCATTTGTATAGAGATGTATCATTATTAGATGACATATTCAAGGCCATGTATTGTAAAGTATAGCTAACAAAAATTTTATTAAAGGCTGTGATGTAAATTTTGCAAAATTTTCTATAAAAATAGAAGTTAACATTTTTTTGTGTTCTATTGTTCTTTTTTTTCCTTTCCAGTAATTATAATTCTAATGTGTGGCACTTTCCAAAAACTGCATTATTGGAAATGGTCTATCGCTTGTGATAAAACTTTCGGTTAATAATTATTTTACTGTATTTTCTTTAAACACTATTTGTAAAGATTTATATTAAATAACATATTAGCAATAAAGGCAAAACATGGAGTAAAACGAAAATTATTCAACAGATATGCGTGAAAGTGATTTAAGAGGTTGGTGTGGTTATTACTAGACCACAAAGTAAATAATAAAGCAAAGACATACGAAAACACCACGTATATTATGACAATCACATCGCGAAAGACCAAATAGGTCAGACGAATGAGCAATGGAAACATTACGCTAGTAACGGGTGTGATATTCTATAGGTGAAAAGCATGCTTGACAACATCGAGGCAAGCTGGCAGTAATGACTCTGATAGCTTATTGTGGCAATAGTGCACATTCCTATAGTAATGTATGTCGGAGCCGGTGGAGGGTTCCTGCAGACACACTGCGACCTGCTAGCCATTGCCCCAACATTTCCCACTCTATATGGGATTGAGGTCCAGTGATCTAGCAGGTCACAGCAGATGTGGAATGATTTCACTCTCCACATAACTCCGCACCATTCGAGCTCTATGCGTGCTGGCGTTATCGCTGATAATTACGCATCGGTACCATTACAGCGATAAGACAGTGTAAAACAGGACGTAAAATTTTGTTGCCATATCGCACGTCTGCGACAGAACCAGCAGGAACCACTTAGAGGTTAGTGCGGCCGTTAATTGCACTCCAAGGCCATATAAGTAAGTCTCCTCTCTTTCGACAGTGTTTGGCACCCAACTGGCTTGTCCCTTGGGTTTCGCCACAGCATTTGCTTTCGAGAATCGTTCTGGATGTTACATCGAGACTCGTCTGTAACGAGCACATGGCCCCACTTCTGTGGTATCGAGCTGCGATGTTCACGGGCCTAATTCAACCCTGATGTGACGTACGATGGAAACAAAGAAATACAAACCCCAGATCCTCGGGCATACATTTTACCTTCATGCAGTCGGTGAAGCTCACTTTGACGAGTTACGGCCGTCCTGCAGTAGTAGAGAGATGCGACGCCAGCTATCGTGCTATTTGTTATCTACGGCGAGTTGCACATAGCAACAGGAAGCAATTGTCTGCCGTTGTGGTTATCGTCCGTCGTCGAGCACGATATCTTCTACAGAGGTTTTAATACTTTTGGTAACGATTACACAGCCTGTTGAGGGCACTACGATGCACATTCAGCTCTCTCACAACAGCGCATTGTTTTGCGCTAGCTTGCATCATCTCAACAGCCCTCCAACGTACTTCATTGTGCAACTGTGGCTTCGGTTAATTATTTCCGCTTTGACTACCTCGGATTACACGGAACTATTGCTGCTTGCGAACTCACGCATAGGTTCTTTATGCCCCTTTTTAAGAAACCTTGGTATGACTGCGGGATTGAGTTTTTTTGGTTGCTTATTTGCTAATTTTCGTTGCTTATTTGCATTCGGCGATGCAATCTCTACCTCATATGTAACTGTGTGGTTTAAGTTGTCTCTTTACATTCGTTCCTTTTCGTTTAGCGTTTGTTGCTTACTTTTTAAGCATGAGTCTACAAGACGTAGCTAGCCATGTCATCACTAATACCTCGTAAAAACCTTTGTATTTTGTATGCTAATCATTGATGGAAACGGAAGAATATAATGGATAAGCATTTCCTAAAATCTTTGCTTGAGCACAAACACCAGTATTTCATTCGATAATAATTAAGTAAACAATAAATTAAAAAAGACTGGCATTAGCATAAATATAAGTATTTCGTCAAAATTTATTCACATTTCATTCATTTTCGTAATCAGCCCTTTGTACTTTTCTATGAGTTCTTATTATTTATCAATTTATTTAGCTCTGTTGTTTTTACTGCTCATCTTAGAAACTTCAATTTCCTCTATTAAATTAGGCAAATTTTATTCCAGTGTATATGATTTAACGTCGAAGCAAGCTATTAACTTTGCTTTGTTTTTATGTAATCATACGTGACTTTTTATTATGTATATATATTCTCATGTTCTGCATGGGGAGTTATTTGTATGTCATTAGTAAATAAACGTTTCTTTCTTATGCTATTTGTAGGATATGTCTCGAAGCAATGTTTACCTAGTGGCTCTTGGTATGTCAACGAACTGAATAGTGAATGGAGTAATTACAGTGGATGTGGAAGAATTCAGGTTTGTATATTCCTATATTATATATTCTGATGCTTTGTCTTTCCTAGTAATTATACCAATGCTCAAATTGTTCTAAGGAAAACAAGAAATTTAAAGAACAAAATTTTTATTTATAGCATAAAATTTCTCAATTTTAAGATTCGCTTTACAGAATATGTAATATATTTGAGTACGAATTTCGATTGTTACGCCAAGCATATTTAGATTTATTAATGATTGAGAAGTACCTGTAAAATAAGACAGTTTTAATAAAAGAATATTTCTATAGTTTCATATAGCAGCATTCATTATTTTAAAATAAATTGCTTGTAAATTCCGAATAGTGCTTAAATCTGTAAATATCCGACCATTAAAAAGAAATATTTAACTCATGTATTATATTACACGATTTAAAAACATTTTCTGCAATTAAATTATGATTTTCCTTCTGGTTATAAATCAGGCGTAATAAATTGTTTCACAACAGCATAGTTTATGCATAGTATTTTCGTGGCTTGTCTCCCAACAAAATACACAAAATATTTATTTTAAAACTTAAAAATAGTTTATGTGAGTGAGAAAATTAGCCAAACTACTAACTCAAGAATATTTTACTTTGAAAAAACGCATCTTTCCCAATATAAAATTCTCTAGTTTCGAAAGTCTCAATCAATGTTATGGGAAAAACATGCCTATCGATGGAAATAATAATTGTGAAGACTTAGGGTATGTATTAGATTTATGTATAACATTGATCTAATATATGTCTAATATAGGTATTTTGGCACGAAATAGGACTTTTTTCTGAAATGACATGCCAATTTTTTTCCCATATTTCAATTCTACGGCTCAACGTATGCCAAACTGCCAAGTTTTGTAAAACTCGCACGAGTAAGTTTTTAAAAAATTAGCTTTCAAAGTTTTAGCTCCTCAATGTTAATTGAATTTTTTATGTATTTATTAATATATCTTTTTATATTACACTTACTTGATTTCTTCTTGCAGAGTTCTAAATTTAGGTTCATTCCAAATAAAATTTACCCATTTCTTATGATTTATCTTTAAAATTTGTATTTTTAAATAATTTTTATAAATTTTTCGAAAAAAATGAATAATAAACTATAACATTTTTACCTTCATTTAAAGTAGATGTATTTCTAAGCATACTTGCAAAATATTAAAGCTTTCTATTCAAAATGCCCAAAGATATAAGTCAATTTACATATCTTCGCGTTTTGAAATTTGGCACATTTGTTGAAAGCGATAACAAGATCAAATGTGGTTTCAGCTCTTTGTTAAAATCATTTGAAAGTAAGAACTATGTCACTTTTTTCCGCTCATGCACAATGTAAAAACGTAGGAACAATTTGGCTTTTTTACGCTGTTTCATTGTAGGGACATTAGGTTAAGTGGAAAAACCAAAGAGATGAAAAATTAGCGACCACGGACATTTGGAATACCGGCCCAATCACCAAATCCTAAGTGTGGAGAATCCTTATCCAGTACTCTTTTAGTTCGGTTGCCACTGCAGAGACATTAGATATTTTTTGGAAGCAGGCAAGATGAAAAATATGCAATCGCCTTCGCCGGGAATCGAACCACGGACCTCTGAAATACCGGCTCAGTGTGCTGACCACTACACCACGAAGGCACGCTAGGAAGGCGGGAGAAATACCTTATATACTCCCATTTTTAAAGGACGACTGGGGTTTTTAGGGAAACCAATCGCCTAATCCTGGGTCTGGAGAGTCATCATCCACAACCCTTTTTAGTTCGGGCTCCACTGTAGAGACATTAGGTATTTTTGGAAGCCAGAGATTGAAAAATGAGCAATCGCCTTCGCCGGGAATCGAACCACGAACCTCTAGAATACCGGCCCAGCGTGCAGAACCACTACACCACGAAGGCACGCTAGGAAAGCGGGAGAAATACCTTATAGCATAATAGAAGGGAAAGGAAAATAGGTTGCCATATATTAAGAAGTTTTCTAAATAAATTATTCTTGGCGCAAACTGAAAAAAAAAATATGCCTAGATAAATTTTTGAATTTCTCCGTAAATTTCGCGCCATATTTTACAAAATTTTAATTATAGGAATAATCGTAGAATTGAAATATGGAAAAAAAATGGTATGTTATTTCAAAAAAGTCTGATTTTGTGTCAAAATACCTATATTAGAACAATGCTATATATATCTAATACATATTCTAAATCGCGCTTTCGAGACATGAAAAACGCAATTTGAATTTTAATAGCAGTAGAACGGGAGACATAGATCTGTCCAATTTTTTTTCTTCGCAGTGTACCTACTATTTAATGGTTTAGTGATGTAGGCAAGAATCGCTTGAACCACCATTTACTTTAAGAACAGTCCCAAACGACTTTTAGTTGAATACGTTTTCAAAGGATCAGAATGTATTAAATCCATTTTCATTATAATGACATTTCACAAATACTGTTATTTTTTCTTTGGTATGCAGAAGTTCGTTATTCCGTACGTTGATTGTTCTATATTTCAGAAATGAAAACATTTCATATCAGTAGACTTCCTAAATTAAAATTTATTTCAGAGCAGCAAGTAGATGTTTTACCTCATTATCAGGTAACGCAATTATCAAATATAAAGAAATGTTTTAGTTAAACAGCAAAGATTTCTTTTTAAATCTTGTTTTGTATTCATGAAAATATGTTCCTTTAAACTTTCCTGAACTGCAAAGAATCTTTTTTCCTTCATTCCCTACTGATTTGAATGGTAAAAAGAATAACACAGTAATTTAAGAAAATTTAATCCGAGAATTTTCTGTAGTTCAAATACAGCAAATGTAACGAGATATCAAAAGAAGCAGAAATTGTTTTAAATTATAGTATTAATTTTATATGGGTAAACTTTTACATAGAGGGTTACATGTCTCATGTAGAACTAATTCCCCCCCTTTTTTTTTGTTTTAGCATTTTTTTTTTTTTTTAACCTTAATATGCAGTCTGCCTCTGCACTTTTGTTTTTTATTCCATATGGCATGTTTCAAATTGAATATGTGATGGACTTAACTGTATTTAAACTTATTTTAATATATACATATATGTATGTACAGTGCAACTCGCTTATAACGAGGCCTGATTTAACGAGAACCTGAATATCAAGAGGAAATCGGAAATACTTGGTCAATACAATGTTAAGTCTATGGAAGCATAACTCTTTAACGATAAACCCCGGTATAGCGAGTAATATTTTTGTAGTTCATAAAATTTCTATTAACTTCCACCTCTCCAGCTCAGCTATTCGTTTCTTGGAAAAATTCCTTTAACATTCCGAAGTCATCCGAAAGTTATTGATGAGTCATAAATCCTGCGAATACGTGATGGCCTTTTTCGTCGTCTTGTGGATGGCATTTGCGAAATCATCCCACGACGACTTCGAGGAGACGACGGAGGTTTCTGGTTGGACGGAAGTTTAGTTTGTGTAAAAGTGGCGGCGTAGGGGGACTGGCATGGAATTAATTCTTCAAAATCTTCATTCATAATATATGCTCGTCAAATTTTATCTTCCGATGTCGAAACGTAAATTTTATCAGTTGAAGAAAAGTAAGGATTTTACGGAATTTGAAGGATGACGTAAAAAATTCCGAAATCTGCAAAAAGTATGATTTATCTTCTTTTACTGTTTCAGCACTGTTAAAATAAGGTAAAATTAATGTCTCCCTTTGATCAAAATAGGAATGACTATAAACGTTTAAAGAAATGGATTTAGACAAAGCGCTTTTAAAGTGGATGAAGATCCAGAGTAGTGCAGATTTACCTATAAGTGGTCCAATTTTAAAAGTTCAAACAGAAATATTTGATGAAACATTTTGTTTAGAATTTGTATTTTCGAATGGATGGCGTTTTTGATTCAAGAATAGAAATGGGATAACCTTTGAAAAATTTGTGGTGAACGTTGCAACTTTTCCTTTATTAAACGATACGTTTAATAAAGGATGCATGGGAAAATGTTAAATTAACTTGCAATTACCAGTTGCTTCCGTAACGCTAGACTGGACATTTCTCAAGAGGAGCAAATGACTGGGGAAGAAGAAGTAGACGACTTGGGAAATTTGGGGACCATAACCCCATTAGACATATTTTCAGTTCGATATCGCAAAGTAAATTTCGGACATGCCTCGCTGTAAGCTATACTGATAATAACGCGTGCATAAAATGACTTTTATACATCTCTTCCTCTGTAGATTTATACCAAACATATAATGTCTTATAACTGTCTTATATTCATACCAAATTTCATTAAAATCTGTCCATTAATGTTTCATAAACTCCACATAATGTGCAAATTCTCTTAATTTTGCGCACGAGTGTATAACGGTTTGTGCTAAATAATGTTCTGTATTAAATGCTTAATAATACTTCTCACTTTAAGTTTCATCTGTAATTCTTCTAAATTTTGCTTTCTGATTTGGAAGATTCATTTTAACTTTATTTTCAATTTTTGAATCGGTTGACGGTGCTCTCTCTTTTTCTGTTTGGAATACTTCACAATAGAATAAGTTTTGGGACTGTAATGTGATTACTTTTTCATTTATTAAATTCTTTATACTTTTTCTTGTTACTATTCTATTGAACGAAATTTTCTTTCATTTTGTTGGGCGAAATGTATCCTTTATTTGGTATTTTAAATTGCTTTTCATATTCTCTGATTTTATTTTGAATTCCTTATTGATATAAATAATTTTGTTTGCAATTTCGTTTCACTGTGGAAACAATAAATTGTTTACGAAGTATGTTACGAACTTTTACTTCTCTGCACGCGTTTTGAACTTTTCTTAACTTGGCAGACTATTTATCTCATGCATGAAGAAACCAATTCGTTTTTTTCGTATTTCTCACGAAATGATTTCTGTAACTTAATTTCCATGCTTTGCAGCCTTAATTTGAATTTGGATTTGTAGAAATGCTTGAATCTGAATTTTTTTTTATTCCTTTGAATGGAATTGCCAGCTTAATGGCATTTGGTGTAAGCAGTGGTATTAT